CTCTTATGAAATGTTGCTGACAAGGGGCACAGATTCTGGTGCTAGAATGGGATGATAGGTTTTCCATGAGACCCTGGTCAACCACTCAGAAGCCATGTGGTGTTTGGCATTGTACTGCCAGAACAGATTCTGCTGTTACAACCCCGACAACAGTGCCCGCACTGCTTGCCTGCCCGTCATACCTGCCCCAGGAAACCTGACGAGAATTCAGTTGCAAGAGGCAGAGATTAATGAACACTGGCCGGTAGGTGTTGTCAAACCTAGACGTTTCGGAACCCTACGACTGACAGCAATGGCAGCATTATGAAGGGTTTGTACATGGACTGGTCTACAGAACAAGCACCTGCACTTCCCTTGTGATGTCAGTGCCTTTCAGGGACGGAATCAAGAAACTCAGTGACATCTCTCACCTGCAGGTAACACATTGGGTGAATCAGCTGGTGCCCAAGCTTTTTGTGCCTTCTACTGAAAGACGTTCTAAGACTTACAATTAGTGCTGCCGCAGTTTGGTCCTGAACCTCAGTTTGAACCCGAACTTTTCCAAACCGGACTCAAGGTCCGGTCACAGGTCCAGCGTGTCCCCTGGACCAAACCTTGAGTCCGGTTCAGGGTTCAGGGCTACCCAGAACCAATTCGGATGTGTTCAAACCTATGACCTACAGTGCACAATCACTCCAAGCAGATGCAGTGGCATCATGCGCTATTCGTCGCAATGATCTGCAACAAGTGGTTGAACTTACAGCTACTTTCATATTGATAGACTGGATTTCATCTTGTTCCCCTTACCGCCTTTGTTTACTTGTGGAGCTGCACAAACAAAAGGGTCCTGCTTGTTACAATATTTGGGCACACGAAGTACCCCAAACTGGCCACTCATCCAATGCTCTGCCTGACATCATAGTACTCTCGCCATGCATGGAAACCGACGTCACATTCCAGAAGCCACGAAACAGCAATGGGTGATCATGTCCACCCATATGTCACCCACTGCCTTAGCCCAAGCCACTCACATGAACCTCCGAACTGTCAACCGAGTTCTTCGACTCTCTCATCTCACAGGCTCTGTTGTTCGAAGACCCTTGGAAAGCGGATGTCCTCGTCTGTTCACAGCAGTGGATGTTTCAATGAGTGAATCAGGTCTGCAGTGTTGAGGTGGTAATTGCTCTATTAGTATCTGTTTTCGTGTATCGAGCGCACTCCAGACATACTCCTGTCGGGAGGATACATCTGCTCTTACACACCCACACTTTCGGCTCTGATCAGAGCTTGACAGACAATAAAGACACACGTGGCTCCATCCTTCATGGTGATTGGGCAAGGTCAGCCGGGCGCAAGGCAAGGCAAGGAGCTCTTGACCATCAAGAGCGAGATTGAGCTAGTCCGTTCGCTTGTCCCCACGATGGCCAACCCCACCACTCTTTCTGGCGATGCAAGATCATGACCAGCCATACTATTCACATTTTGCTATGAAAGACAAACCCCTCACACTGGTCATACACAACACATAGTTGTTGCTTTCTACAATAATTTGGTCAAGGATTTGGAGGAGGGTGATATGCTGGACTGTACAAAGGCGGACTGGGCACTCAACAAGGCTACTTACGCTGTGAAGACGAAAGTGCCGCTCGAGCAGAGAATCGTTTTTGTTCATATTGGTGTGTAGTTTCACATCATAGTACTCTGATGTAGTGCAATTTCACTAGCTGTTCATATTGTCATATCAGATCTCACCCTTCATTATACTTCCGCAACCTCTTCCTGCACTTCTATACTCTCCTAGAGCCTTTGATGTGTCTTGGATACAATCCTAATACTCGTGTATGACAGTATTTGGGTTGTCACAGCATACACTATTATGTTCCTTTGACCGAAAAAAGTACATTTTCCCTACGTGGATATGGATAAGACAAGAGGCGACGTATTCAACTTTGTACTTCTCAAACTAGCAATCTTCAGCCATTGGCGCTCCTCGACGTTGTCTCTCTTCACAATCATCTGTATGCAAGGCATCATCCTCTATTTCATCGTGTTGTTCGCTAGTTTCATTCTGTTTATAAGATGTCATGAATGTGTTTTTTGCTTGGCCTGGTATGTCCCTGTCAAAGGTTGTTCTTTTTCTTTGGTGTGCTCACTGATGGGAGTGTAGCGACTTGTATCATGTACGACTCCCTTCCTCTCCCACTCTCACATACTCCTGCACTGTCTGGTTTTCACTGGGGTCGCTCAATACCCATGAATATTCAAAATTGTGGTCGAACCTGGTTTGAACGCGAACCGGACCCTCCTGAATGCGTTCAGTAGCGTTCGGTCCAGAGTTCAACCAAACAGCTGAACCGAACCTGGTGTTTGGTTTGGCGTTCAGATAGTTTGGGCAGAGAACTGGACTGAACCGGACTTCGGCAGCACTACTTACAATCTCATTGCAGAGATGCCTGTGGGCACCCCTGTGCTCGGATACACATTCTTCTGGGAGCATCCAGCTGTCTTCCCTGCACCCAACAGATTGATTCAGATGGTAGCAGGTATCACAGAGAATGCGGATGACGTCGCAGGCAACATTTTAGTGGTGAAACATGCTCGTGGGAGAAAGAATGATGTCATGGACTGCAATGAAGTAGACATGGAATGGGTCAATCATATAATGATTCATGAAACAGTGAGCACATCATCTCTGGGTATGATCGTCCACTGACAGTAATCAGGACAGTTAGGGAGGGTAGTTTCTGGCATTCAATGGGCGATATGTAGATCACACTCTGCATTTCGGAGCTTTGCCAAAAAAGAGTGGGCAGTTGCAAACTAGATTACAATACTATTAGTTACCACCAGTTCATGCACTCCACATCTTGTGCAGTCACACAAATGTAACGGAAAGTCACGGTATCGTCACACTGGCCAGTTTCAAAGTCCGTTCAGCGCTAGACATTAAGGAAGATATAGTGTATATACGAAGTGTACTGCTATGTAGTAATCTAAAATATGTATTGCGGGTTACCAGAGTAATATAGACTGTCATCATTATTAAGATGCCCAGACGGCAATGGTTGTGATGACGTGGATGCAACAGGACTCGGAGCAGTTGGTGAAAATCCAGCACCAATGTGATGTTGCCCTGGCCAATGGTTTGAATATGGAATGGATCCTGGTATTTGCGAGAAAAACGGCATGTGCGGAGGGGGTACATTGGTGGCTGCTGGGGGGAGAGAAATACTTGCTGAAGGTGTCTGAGTTGAGCTTTCGGTTGAAGTTGAGGTAGACGCAGTGATGTGCCCACGGTTCCCACATCGTTTCAAACCATATAGCGCTGAAAATCGAGGATTATCTGCGAGGGCTTGACGAGTGCCAGGATCCTGCAAGTGAGCTGCGATCCGTGCAGAAAGATCAGTGGGGCCATCAGCCAAAACAAATGATGGAGGAATGGAATCGCCAGCTGCTGAAACACATTCAATTATTGTGACCAGCTCTAAATTATCACTGTGAATACGATAGCGTTCTCGATTGTTTTTCGAGAAGATAAATTTTGAATTGTCTCCCTTTTGGCCACCTCCCATCTGACACCCCTTCTCATCAACATTCCAGTTGTGTTCTGGTGGAATTCCTTCCAACTCATCGTCCAAGGCCTTGTGCATATCAAAATACTCCGTGATTGTTGCCTTGTTGAAATTTTGTGCGCGTTTTGGATCCAGGCCTCGGAATTTCGCAACAAGGATATCCGCGTGACGGGAAAGGAAGCGGCGGTCCCAATTCTTGCCTGGGTAAGCTTTCACCATCTCGAATATTTGAGCACGGAGTTTGCGGGGATGGAGAGGGGTGGCTGAATCTGAGTTATGGTGGCACCAGTCCACCAGTACCTTTTCTTGGGATTCATTGAGCAATGATTTCCGAGTGCCACGATTGCCTGAAGCACGATCTCGTACAGTCTGTGGGGGCACCTAAAGGAAAATTGAGTTAGCATCCGAATTACTGAGGGAGTGCTTACCTTGTGAGCTACAGCAGCACTTCGGAAACTGCTATAAACACCAGTCAAGGTATCGTGGATGGCAGCTTGAATGCGAGCCTCTTTGGTAGGATCTCTGGGACCTTCCCGCGTCCCACCAACTCGAGTGCGCGCCATACTACCCACCCATGTACGCGTTCAGATGTGTCGCGACGCGTTGCCACAAGCGTGTCTGAGTTCCAAACTCCGCTGCGGCAGTACCGGCAGGTGACATTGAGAGTGACACAAACCGTTGTCACCACCAAAAAATTATCTCTTTTGTTTCTTGTTGGATCGCATCCGTTAAAGCTCGTAGGGTGTTTTTATGATTTATGGTTGCATATGCATGTATTAGTTTGAATATTTGTATACGTAGTAGAAAAGCGTTGTTTTAAACGATGCACGAGATGTGGGGATGCACGAACTAGTGGTAACTAATAGTAGGAATCATTGTAGGACGACACGATAGAAATTCAGACGGTTACTGAAGCGTGTACGGTCCGATCTGTTACAATGTCGATTGATGGGTGGCTGGCATTGAACTTTCGTGAAGTGCATAGCATGGTATTACCGCAGCTCTAGTGGACGCCAGACAACTGCAATCACAACCCTGTCGTTCGAAACGCCCACGAGGCGTGGGAACATTGACGCCAAAAATATGGAACAAGTTGTGCGAGAACGGGAGTAGGGGACTTGCTGCGTCAGCGCCGAGCGGCGATACCGATCAGATAGCCATCATCCTCGATCGAACGAATTCGTTGCTAGAAACGTTCGCAGCTGGACTTGGGAATGGAAACTTGAGCCGAACAACGTGCATTTGACATTCTCTAACAAATCAGCAGGTACCCTACGATGACGCGTTTCTTCACCCACCTTTGCCTTTATTTGCGGATGATGGACATTTCAGTGCCGCCGCTCGCGACCCAAGTCATTCTCGATGCTTTCCTACAAGTATTGGAAGTGAGAAATTGTCCTCAGTTATGTTTTTCTGCACTAATCTCCCTGTCATGCTGCAGGCCAACCAGAGTTAATCGCCATGTATGCCGGCGCACTAGGATATAACGCAGTGGAGCGATATGCGATGTTATTGACTTCGCTCGAACTGACTGCGCACATCAACGAACGTCAATTAGCATTGACTCGTGCACAAGAACATGGTCTGAACGTTAATAGGGTGGCAATCGTCACTGCCGAGTAAACGATCGATAGAGCATTCGAGGTTGATAGGACTTGCATCTCACAAAACTCATGCGCTGAACACTACTTGCAGCTTTGACCCCAAATGAAGGGACCGCTCCCTTCTGTTACTTCGTTCCATAGAGTAGACGACGTTCAAGGATGGAACGTATGATACTGCGGTGGAACAAGCCACTGTCATTTTGCGGTACTTCCTACGTAAGCTTGTTGTCGAGGTTCTACTATCACGATTTAATCCATGATTTCTAGGGGCAGGGCGGGTTTCACTCGCAAAGAACTTTGTGGAAATGCTTCCACATGAACTCACCTCCATCGACCAACCCGAGGAACGAACCACAGAATACCTTCACTACAGACAGTTCTTCACGATCCGGGACAGTCTTGACCGGGTCGTTGCGTTCTGGGCTTGCTTAGCAGAACAGACGAAATAATACAGTGTACAGTAAGACACACAGCCGATCTTTTATGCGAGCTCGTCGCGGTACGTTTAATTACATTTCACCTCGTATTCCTCATCTCATCCTCAAACACAGATATCCATCCAACGCTCCGAATTCGACACCGCAGAATCACACTACTCACCCTAACCCACACTCACGCCGCACACCTCGCGCATGCACTCGGAGATACCGAACGTGCAGACCTATGCTATCGCTTCGCTAAATCCATAGATGACGAACGCAATGCGAGGGCTGGGCATGTAGGCGCTGCTGCATGCGCTGGGGAAGCAATGTTGCGCATAGGACTACGGGCCCAGGCTCAGGGTGATGGCGAGCACTCAAACACTACTGTGAATGAAGACGCTAGCAGTGCCAAAAGCGACTGGTTGGACGCTGAGACACATGGGCTGGCCGCGTCTGCGATCCAGCGGTGTCACGGGATGGGAGGGACGCTTGAAGTGGTTGGGAAGGTAGTGCAGGCAGCTGTGGCGGATGCGAGGGGGGAGATTGTTGGTGCCAAGTGCGTTTCTTATTTTCTTCATTTCGCGCCAAAAAAAACATAACCAACTCGTGCTTACAAACTGATTTCTGGCGCAGATCTCACCCAAAAACTGCGCTGTCTTTATCGACGTTAGCAGGCGAGAACCATCTCCGTGCGTTGCTCCTCGCGCAAGTGGGTGCACAGTATTTGCATACGAGCACCTGCGCATACTATGGAGACGTTGGCCGTGTGCGAGACGCTTGGCGCTGAGATGGGCGTGAAGCAGAAGGACGTGAATGGTAGAAAAGGTAAAGAAAAAGAGAATGAGAATGATGCGGACGGTGGTAATGTTTCCTACTTCTCTTCTTTTATGTTGTTCAGTGCCGATGATCAAGCGCAGGTATTTAAGCGCGCGAATAAGCCGCACCGAGTGGCAAAGCAATAGGTGTATAATGTTATGTATCGGGGTAGAAGGGAGGGTGGGGAGGGTGACGTGGCCTTCTGCGATGGAACCTGATGATGATGAAAAGGGGCCTGCCGACAGTGAAGACATCAAAATGCAGGATCTGGATCCCATTTGTCAAGGAGGACACTCTCGTTGCCAAAGATCGTCTTGTCGCGCTGGAGCACCTCACGAAGTTATTGTTGAAATGAAGGGCGCAGATCTGGTGGGCGCGCAATTTCGCTGTCTTCGCTCCGCTCCACCTGTCTGGCTCAATGAGCGCAAATACCATTGCGGCATCTCATGTCACATCGGAGTCTGGATCTGGTCTGGTGCACTGTGCCCCTGCACATGGCGCAGAAGATTACCTGGCATTTCGAGCGCTAGGTCTTCTGCAAGGCCCCACGGATATCGTTTGTCACGTCGACGATGCTGGCAAATTTTCTCCTGATGTTGCTCATGTCGTAGGCGAAGAAGCTGTGCAAACACTAGTGGGACAAGAGGTACTCAAGGGTGGAAACAAGGCTATTGTCAAACTACTGGAGTCCACCGGGTCCCTTGTGAAGGTGCAGAGGATCAAGCATCGCGATCCGTATGATTGGAAGACCGGTGAACATACCATTGTAACGTAAGTTGCGCCTGGCAAGAGATGTTCACCTCGGTGCTTACATAGTTTAATAGGGCTACCCCGCAATGGTTTGCCAACCTGGACGGCATCAAGGATGATGCACTTCACGCGCTGAAGGATGTACAGTTCTATCCCCCTTCATGTATGTCCCCCTTCCGTCCTTGAGATTATATTCTGAGTTTGCTTGATCACAGCTCGCAATTGACTAGAGTCATTCGTTCGCTCGCGTTCCGAGCGGTGCATTTCTCGCCAGCGAGTGTGGGGTGTCCCGATCCCGGCTCTCTACCACACCCCAACGGATACCGCCGTCCTCTCATCCGAATCCCTTACTCACATCTTACATGTTGTGTCTGAGGGAGGCGTGGCTCATTGGTGGAAAGGTCCAGTCGGAGACTTCCTTACCCCCGAGCTACTCGCCCAATTCGAAGGTGGTCCTGAGGCCTGGCGCAAAGGCACGGACACGATGGACGTCTGGTTTGATAGCGGGTCAAATTGGAGTACACTGAGCGCCCCCGCAGGCGGGAGAAAACATTGGGCGGACGTATGTCTTGAGGGCACAGATCAGCATCGCGGGTGGTTCCAGAGCCAGTTGTTAACCTCAGTGGGTGTTAGCTGCGGACAAAGCGCTGCAAGGCAGGTGAGCCCATACGGAACGCTGATTATGCATGGTATGGTACTTGATGAGGCGGGCAAGAAGATGAGTAAATCCCTCGGAAACATCGTCAGCCCGATGACCATCATCCATGGTGGCAAGGTCAGACATCGCTTATTTTGCACATAGAGTTCGCTGAAGTTTTGCGGTTGACAGGATAAGAAGAAAGAACCTGCGTACGGTGCAGATGTCCTCCGCTTATGGGTGGCAACTGTCGAGTACTGGCGAGATACGTCCATCGGGCCCACAGTTCTTGCAGTGTGCGGAATCTATGAGGAAGATCTGTAATTTTGCTTGGTTTATTCTTGGAAATATCGATACAACTACTCAACGAAAGCACTTTGTTCCGGTTGAACGCAGCGAAGTGGGCTTGGTCAGTCCACACATTAAATTGATGTCTAATGCTAAATGTGATTGTTGTGACAGACAGAGCATTTTGTGATGAACGAGCTTTACAAGCTTGATCAAACTGCTGCAGAGGGATATGCAAACTACAATTTCCCGAAAGGTAAGAGCTCATCGTGTTCATAGAATTTACAAGCTTATACTCTCCGCGCCAGTCGTGGATTCCTTGACCAACTTTGCAAACGTCACGTTGTCATCGCTCTACTTTGACATCACAAAGGACTGCCTCTATGCCAATGACATTCAAAGTGTCAAGAGACGGGCGGTTGTGACTACCCTTGCCAAAGTTAGCGTTATCCAGTGAGAATATACCGTTGACTAATGTTCCTACCAGGTCATCGACTCTATGACCTCCGTAATGGCCCCAGTGCTTTCTTACCTGGCAAAGGAAATCCACAGTGCTCTCCGTGAAGGTGATGGAGCTGTGTCCCAGCTATTTGTCTTTGCGAAGGAGTGGACTCCTGTCGTGAGTATTGATGTCGCAACTGCTTGTACTTTCTCTGATATTCTCTTGAACCACATAGAGCGCCGAGTGGAATGATCCGCGTGCCGAACAAGACATGGCTAGTTTGCTGAGGATGCGCAGCGTCGTGCTATCTCTTTTGGAACAGGCTCGAGGGGAAAAGTGAGTGCCCAATTCTTTTCGTGTTTGTAGTCTGAGCGTGTTCCGGTGTAGGCATCTAAAGAGCTCTCTCGAAGCTGAGGTCGATATTATCTTGCCCAACGATATATCTGTACGACCGTATTCGCTACAGCTAATTGAACGCGAAGGTGAGCAGTTTGATCTTCCTGCTCTTCGTAACTGAACAGTATTTGCGCGCAGAGACCTTCTTGAAGACGCTTTTCATCGTTTCTGATGCCAACATCACGGACGAAGGCTCTTTCGGCACTAGTTCACTCGCGTGGTCCTACGTCTCTTCAACGGATATACCCGGTACGTTTATGTTTTCGAAAGCTGTTTTTGGTATTAATTCGCCTATTCCTTCTGCGTAGACTCGGACTTGGAGCTGGCGATTCGCGTTAGACCTGCATCCTTGAGTAAGTGCCCACGGTGCTGGACGTATACTCGTGAAGAGGATCATGATTTATGTCCCCGCTGTGAGGATGTTGTTCGACGTGCGGATTAGATTGTTGGCGAAGATGGTACACGCGTGTATATAGACTACATACGATCTTAGATAATACTCTATTCATCCCACCTCCTGCACTTATTTGAGCTTGACTAGCACTGTGAGAACAACACCACGGCGTTGGGTACATGCGGCAGCATCTCATAGCCAAATCAAAGCTCGGTGCTCAGCGTTCAGAAAAGTTTGTCAAACGTGGCAGTACAAAATGGTCAACTTCGTCAGTAGGTAGAGAGCAATGCGACACGAAGCATCTAATATTCTGAGTCGGGGAGGGTGGGTCACCCTAGGGCGGCACGCTATCAGATGCGCACCTAGTACTATGGCAGTCCTGCAGATGCACCATGCGTGCAAAAGTCCGGTAAATAATAGGACCAGATAATATTTGCTAACATGACGGAATGACAGGTCCAACCAAGTAGGTTCATCTTGATATTTGGAGACGTACTCTGAGCAGACAACCCTATGTGCACGTCAATATACTTTAGCATGTAAACACTCCTCTAGGGTGAGTCCGAAATGTAATAAGATATGCACGCACTCAGCTATCAGATACAGTCCAATCGAAACCAACCTCGATTTGTATAAAAAGGATGGGATGCGCAAGTTCTGAATCGCCATGCAGGATGGAAGATGTATGGTGTGGTAGCGAGTACCATTCAAAACAAGCTAATGATACAAAAGAACGAATTGAGATTAAAAGTTGTCCATGTGCCGTGTCTCTATGAATCTGCATATCAAACGGGTATGCAGCAGAGAAACGACTAGAAACGAGACCGCCGTGTAAGTGATAATAGGACGTGAGTCCGCACCCTGCCACACCCAGCGTGGATATCGAGGGGGGTCCAGGGGCTATCTGGTTGACCGTATTTCGCCTCGGGTAATGCATCCCCTTTATCACCCGTCCATACGGTGACGAGAAGACAGCTGTCTATGTGATGCGATGACTGTCGCCGGTAGCAGGAGACGCACAACAGAGAAACAACACAACACGAGCCCACCATTTAAGCTTCCGGAAGCGTTCTGGATGAACCCTCAGTTGGTGGTGGCGGCGGCGACGGCGGCGGAGCAACACATAAAGCCTGCAGAGACACTGTCGGATCGCAGCGAGTGGAAAGACGCGTAATACAGACACACCCCTTTGTGCTGTACTGCAGCAATCCCTGCGAGACTACGACCGTGGTATGAAATCGAATTTTGCCTCGAATGTTGTTGGAGCTGCGGTCTCTTACCATTCTAGGCGGTCTTACTCTTCCTATTGCTGTGATAGAGTTGGAGCCTGGACAGACGGATCAGACTACCATTTTGACGATATGGGAATGCAACTTACCCATTCCTCAATCTGAGCCGACACTACAGAAAGAGTTCTTCGCAAATTCATCCTGCAAGCGAGCATAGTCAGCATAGACCTCGGTAAATATCTTGCTGGCCTTCTGTGCCCTGCTGATCATTGCGACCGTCGGGCTCAGGCATGTCCTCCATTCCGGCCGCTTGAGCAGAATTGCGAGTAGGGGTTGCTGGGACAGGTGTTCCGCGAGAAGTAACAGGCAATTCACCACGATCTATGCGCTCGAGGACTGTTTCAAGTTGATCAACCTTTCGTTCCGCTTCCTCTCGGGCTCGCTTCTCCTTCTCGACTTCAGCGTGTAGAACTGCCTCGCGTCGCTCGGTGTGTGCTCCGACACATGCCCATTCGCGTTCAATGCCTTCGACAATATCCTTTGCCTGCTTCTCGCGCTGTTCCATAATGTTTATGAGTCGTCCCAGCCCGGATGCTTCACTAGTGAACGCTGCTTCCTGTTCTCCGAGCAGTCCTGTCAGATCCTGCACGCGTGCAAGAGCCTGCGTGAGCTGACGCGCTTGAGACAATTGTGCGCTCTGGAGAGCTTTGAATGCACTCTCCGGTGCTGACTGTTGCTGAGTGAGCGAGTCGTGTGCGGTTTGCAGAGTTGCGAACTCAGCATGTTTCGTGCGTCAGTACTTGGAATGTTCTTTGATTTGGACGAAAATTCGGCGATTGCTTGGTCGACTTCGGACTGTGCGAGTTGGGGTTGCTGTGTGAGGGAGTCGATCTTGAACTTAGATGAAAGAGCATTCGGTCGACAAAGTGGACTGTGAGGTGCTGAATTTTGATATCTGTGCTTCTAGGCTACTTTTCAATGCAGTTGCGGGGATACATATCATTAAGTTCTAGTACCTATCTGAGAGTACGGCAAGCGGCATTGAACTTGATCCCAAACTTTGGATTCCTATTCGATATAGTTGATATCTTCATTTCACGACTGCTTGCTGACTTCGTTCTTGTTGTCTATCTACGTCCTGGAGTAAGTCCCCATCATGATACCTTGAGCGGTTTGTTGGATATTCAACATCGTCACCATAGATAAATTTCCTTTCTCGTTCTCGGACTCTATACGCACGCCTTATAATTTTCCCTGCATGTACATTTGCCTAAGTATAGTACCGTAATTGATTCGGCTCGTCTAAGCAACACCAGACTTTGATTCTGAATCCCTATAAACGTCACCTGTTACTCCCCTAAGGCAGTGGTTGCCCCCCTTGGGTGTAAATGCCTGTAACTAGGGCGTTACGTACATCGCTTGCCATTGACGTGTAGAGACCCTTTAGCTTTTGGTCGAATTTTATCCTAGCGGGGGACAGGTCAAAGTCGCTGGACAAGACGACACCAGTTAATAGTTCTTTCAATACCCACTCAAATAATGTTCCAATGAAAGCTAACAATGCCCCAAGGTCTCGGTCGGGGCTGACATATTGGTGGAGCTGAAATTGGTGGAACAGCACGTGCTGCGTAAAATGCTGCACTACATTATTTGCAAGGGGCACGTCGTGTATGATCTGTCCTCCCACCTGACCGTAAAGCCATGAGCATTAGAAGGAGGAGTCAGAAGAATAACTTACCACGATATCTCCGTTCAGGAATGCATCGTCTTGGAGAAGGTCGCGGATGATAAGCACCGTCTCTGCCTTCGGTTTGGTTGCCAAGGCATCACTCAAATTGTAGCCAAATACAACCGCTATCCGAACTATATCCATGAATTTTCTCCTCAGATTCTTCGCGGTGTCACCAATTTTTCCGGCGTCCTTTTTGCCAGAATTCCCGACGGACCATTGGGCGAGTTCAGCTGTTCTCGATATTAGTTTTCAGTTTAAAATGAATTTCGTGAGAGACTTACGATTATTGGATGTAGCAACAACGGCAGCGAGGCTGGCAAGCCCCTTTTCTGAGCTTTCTTCGCTTGAAAGCAGAAACGTGTCGTTGAACATCGACCGTTTCATGCTTTCTCTGGCTCTCAATTTCACCTGGGGTATGGTCTCAAGATCAAGCCAGCCCGTAATAGGTGGCGACGACACGAATGTTGTAGACAATGGTGCTACAGGAGGTGGTACCGTGGCTGGTGCTGGTACCACGACTGGTACTGGAACAGTGGCCGGTACTGGTACCGCGACTGGTACTGGAATAGCTAATGATGCTGGGGCAGGCGATATAGCTGGTGTCAGGTCATGATGTGATAGCTCAGCGTCGCTTTGTTCTACATCGTCGCCGAGGTCATGGTGATTCCTGCCGCGGTGAACGGCAGGCCTGTCGAGCAATTTGTACGGAGTGTATCGACTGCGCGATGACGGCGGCGAGTCAAACTGACGCAATGATGATGGCGGCGAGTCAAAGCGTAAGGCCGACAACCGGCCGTGAATACCACCAGCGACTCCAAGGGTGTGCAAATGCGGGGCTCCCGTGACCACAGCCTCCGCGGCACTGTCAACTGGGTCATCGAAGCTCATGATTATGGCCAGAAAATCTTCGGGGGTTAGTGGAGTTTCCGCGGAGGTGTGATCAGCTTGACTTGGCCCACTGGCTGGAGTTGAACTGCTGTGGGCGTCCAACTCGTTTTTATGGAGCTTCGGTGCCATACCTGAGGCTGGCCCGGGCATGTCAGACCAGCTTCCTGGGGGCATCATACCTTCGTACCACATGTCGAAATTGACGTCTGGGGGTGGCACAAAGCTGCCAAATCTGTGGCTGTCGTCACCAAGCTCCTGACGATGTGACTCTTCATCTGAGCTCGGAAGAATCATATCGATGCCACCAGGGGATATGATGGCAGTCGCGGTGACTCCGAGTCGGCCTGGCAGAGTCAGAATTTATACTGAACTTTGATATTTAACATTACTTACCACTGATACGGGCTACTCCTTGGACGACTCGGAGCCTGTCATAAGTAGCAGCGGCCCCAGTCTCTCAGCCGCGTATGAGTCGCTCTGAGCCGAGTTCATCAGATACTCGTAATGATAACGAGGCATATTACATGTCTGACTTTCCTGGTGACTGCCAATCGACAATTGATCATTGTAACATTACAAATTTCGATTATAGCCAGTGCTTCTCAGAGACCGTTCCCCGCCGCACGAGTCATAGTTCTTGCAAGCCTCCTGGGGCTGGCGATGAACACTAAATTTCTGAAATGGTCAGGATCGTGATATTACAGCAGCGACCTTCGGAAATACCGCGATGAGCCAAACAGAAACTTTGAAGGCGATCTTAGTCCCATGGCAAGCCACTTGAAGTTGGCCGGCGCCACATTGAGCTTGAAGTTTAAATTCTTCTCGTTCTTCAGTCAATGATCCCGGAAATCGATCGGAAATCAGCTAATGCATCGTGGCGACTGCAGTAACAAAGACTAGGACTTACCCAGATTCGGAGTGGAATTCAATCCGAACGAAATTTAGGAGTCTAGATTGACTCAGAGAGTCAAAGCTTCAAGCTTGCCCAGGTCAATGCAACTGTGCAAGTGTCATGAGTGAGGCGGCTTACTAAGACAAGCAAAAACTATAGACTACTACTAGTAAGTCCGCTCCTTCACTCCGAGTACTAGCTACTACACTCTTGAACCGGTGGCCTCCCTGTCATGGCCACTAGGCCTTGAACTCTGACTCGGAAGTGTCAGAAGATTTTGAAATCGGACAGGAATTCCAGTTGGAACTTCTGTAACGAGGTGATCTCAGTGACCATGATGCGCACACGACTCAGTTTTAAGTTCTAGATTCTTAGATTATTACATGTAGAACTTCGGCAAGCTCAAGTTTCAATTGAGAATTCGAGTATTTAATGTGTTGGGACGGGCAACAGGCGGCACAGGCCTGCAAGCCTTAGCCTAATACGGCGAGGGTAATGATCCATATTGGTATTCGTGTGCCTGTCATTATGATGAACGCCTACCTGTGCCCACCAAGTGCCATTTCAGTCATGTTTCCTCAGCGTAACAGCTGAATGACACTACCAGATAACGTCCAAGTTTAAACTCCTTTCAGGGAAATTAATTCATCGTGATGGCTGTAGGTAATACCCTAACTGGGAGGGTTTTTCAATCCCATACTGGCCTAGTACAATCTGTGCGCCTGTTAAACCTTCATCCGACCTCTTCCAACACACGCCAAAAACTTGTTGATATCAACTAGTCACCGGAGGCACTCCTGGCTAATTAGGAATGCACGCCTGCTTTACTCCCCCGAGCTCTATCGGACAACTTAGTCCTACTCGTCAGGATGAAGACTCATCCTGTCAACTCTGGCCCGATGGTACCCAGACACCTGACCATCAACGACAATATCGTCGTGATATACCAATGAGACACGGAGCTCCATTCAGACGCTTCAAGGGTCGCCGACCATTATCACCATCATCTGACGACACAAATGATTCGTCAGAAGATGAGCTGTGTGCACTTCCAGGCCTCCCCCCCTCGAAAAACATGATTTACTATGTGCAACGCGCAAAAAGACAGTTCAAGCCTTATAACAAGCACAATAGTCACGAGCCTAACGCAATCGAACTTCGTTTTTGTAACAAGTCTGTCGGAAAATGCTCCGGCGAGACTGACATGACTCTGGCTGATGTCCGGGCGGTAAGTTAGCCTTCAATGCTACAATTTCACAATGATAAACATCTTATACCAGGGAAAAGAACTCTTCGAGCGTGGCCTGCGAGGTATGTCTGGCAAGGCCGTCGCTCAAGCTGTCGTTGCGATGCAAGCTACCCGCGAATCCAAGCGCTTGCGTGTTCTGACAACGGCCTGGGAGATCGAGTCGTCGGTTCAGCGCACAAGACTTCTTGAAACAATGCTGGAGAAGGACGCTCTAGAATATGCCCGTAGCGATGCAGAAGCTTCCTCTTTCGAAAAACTTTTGGTTGCACGTACCTCGAAAGACCTTAATACCGACATAGACTTCAATATCGGCGCATATAACTGCGATATTACGTCGTTCGTTGTTTCTGACATACAACTTGATCACATCGAGGATCTTGCGCACAAGTTATGTCTGCCTGAGGAAGACAGTGATGATAGCATGGAGGGGTCCCCCGACTCCAAGTCCGATATCGATAGCTGATGTAAGGCGATCATTAGACTGATCATGTGTAATACTGATCATAATATTACAGATCTCGGGAGTTGAGGATTTGCTCCTTGTTGTGCGGTGTATGCTTGGGATCGTCGTAAATCCGTCACTGATCCTATGACCAGACAAGTGCAACAAATAGCTACATGTTTCCAATATATGTATATCGTAACGGCGCGCACGCCAGCCCTCGACTCTTTTTTTCTCGTCGGACATCAATCAGAATCATTCTTTTGACAGCTCATACTTGCCATTCATTGCGGTAAGAAATTGCAATAGTTTCCTTTGTAGGACGCCGAATATTACTATGTACAACTATATCATCGACTTGCAGGGTCTGAACGACTGTTCATTATGTGTTACCCGCTGATCAAAACGGCGTACCAGAACGAAAAAATACATCCATGGTATATAATACACTCCTCAAAGGAGACATGTTAATGCCTCATTTGCAACCCACCGTAACAACCCGAGTGTCTAGTGACCACCCTAACCTCACCGGCATCTCCAAAGCTCAACACCGATAGTTCGAAAACCAAAAAAACATACTAGTGCTTACCGCTTCTAGCTAGCGCATCCAAACATGTCGTAGATCACACTCCCAAGGAACTGGCAGTTGCAAATTCCATCTCTGGAAATATTCTTGATGTGGACCCTATTCATCCATTGGAAACCGTTTCTACTCTATTTGAAAGTCGGATCCTATGTCCTCTGCTTCTATTCAGAAATACCAGTACGATTGTATGGGGTCGAGGATATCGCTTTTTCGTGATGTTTTGGCGGGGATGCTTGGGTCGAAGGAGTGGACACGCACGTTGTCTTCGCCGTCGTTGTTGTTAGATATCCGCTCGGAGCGCTCTGATGCAAATGCGGTGTGCACTGTATGATGCCAGTGCTCAACCGGTATCCCAAGCGCACGTAGCGATAGACCGCATCTTCACAGATGCAAGTGATCTGCAATCGCAAGTCGACTCAACATCAGGAAAAACCTCCCTTGGGAATTCCACTGAAATCCTCAAACTCGCATGTAAAACAGCTGAATTCCAGAAACTCTGTTAATTTGACCGAAATCGATGTATTTCGAAAGTAATAAAATCTACTGGTCAGATTCAACAGAAATCGTTGTATTTCCAATGAACTCGGAGTAAATTCCGCCAGTCAGATTATAGTGAGATAAGCATGCCTGTCACTGAACGAGTTTACAAAGAAGCTAGAACAAAGCTCCAGAACGGTACTGCTCGTCCATTCACGAGGTACAACTGGGCCGAATTTTGGAATAAGGTGTACACTCCTGCGAATATCAGAGATATCGATGATGCTCGCGAGACGCTCTCCATTACGAATGACGCGGGAAATTTTGTATAAACCATGGTTTGCTTCGGGTTGCCCGAATGGCGTGAACCACTCCACATAAGCAAAGTGGGTAGGTGCCTTGGCAGGTGTGCGAAATAAGGCAGCCGCAGCATGACTTGTCAGTGTGAAGACGACACGGACTTGTGCAACACGATACCCTCAAATTCATGATCAAATATTAGTTTAGTGAGGGAGTAGTACGAAAACACAACTAGAACAAGAATGAGAATGGTGACCGTTGACCGTCGAGAACTGGCAAATGAGAATGAGCGAGCGAGATCACTAGTCACAAGTGCAATTATATGAATCGGAAAATGAGTGAAAACAAGCAGGAACACTCACAGGCTAAGCGCGGACAGGGACAAACAAGCGCAGAAACGCAGACATGAAAAAACAAACTAGAATGATTAAAAATGAGTGAAACGAGGGGCAAAAGCCCATATAAGAAGAAATACTCACAAGTGGACAAGCAGAAATGAGTGTAGAGCATTAGCATGATCAAAACGGTTGAAAATGTAAATGGTAGCTACAGCGCAGCACTGAGGAGCGAAACACTTAGACGGATTCTGATCAATCCGGGAAATGCCGAGTTTATTCTCACAGTTGAATTTCAAAAGTTTGGTTTGAAAATGACACGCAGGTCCATTCCCCTTCTCTCTACTACTTCGAGTTGCGCACACTCTTCTCTTTACTGAATGTTTTCGCTCCTTGTCGGGATGTGTGTAATCTCTTTTTTGACCTGCTTACTTGATGCTGATGGTGCCGTGTCCATGTCCTGCTCTGTGCGTGTCCTTGTCTTTGACCTGTTTACCCAACGCTGATGGTGCCATGGCCATGTTCTGCTTTCAGAATGTGTGTGACCTTTTTTCTCGTGTCCCGCTAACCTTGTCCTTTTGCCCGCTTATCTGACGCTGATGGTGCTTCGGCCGTATCCTGCAATCGGAGTTGTGGTTGCAACCATCGTAGATTTTTAGGTATTTTTACTGTAGACCGACAATGCTAAGTATATTACTTTCACAGACTTAGTCTATACTGATGGACTGGATGAGTGGCAATCCACCATCGAGCTCGCAAGTCAAATCCTGCAACGCTGCCCTCCACATTGCAACCCTCACTCGGATTTCCGAACGCGGGAAAAAAAAGGTATCACGCGCTTATGGCATGGCTTTTCAAGGCTGTCAGGTGTGTTTCAGGTTCCTTGGATTGCGCCTGTCATTCACACACTCTCTGTTAGCGTGTCGCAGAGCATGTTACTGCTGGCTGGTTCGGGGAGCAACTTCGACTACCTTGATGTTAATGCAATGTCCGAGGATTAAAGGTTGTTGTGT